ACTGGTATTGGAACAGTAATTTTGAAAAGGTACTGTTTAAGTTTTTTTTTAAAGGTGAATGTTAGCTGTGGTTCAGAGCAATGTCAGCTGCGCAAATCTTGTGACCATTGGCATCCAATTCTTCTGGAGTCTAGACGAAGACCAAAGTGTGAACTGGGCCCTAATGGAAAGGATTACAACATTAATAGAAAGTCCTCAGCAATAAAAAACAGATTCCATCCCTCAGTTAACAAAAGGAAGAAGAAACTAGGATGAGAATGAATGGAAAAAAGGCTCAAGGTGACAGGAGAAATCCTTCTCCCATCTCACCCTACCAGGTACCCCTATCCAACAGGAAGTTGGAGAATAAAGGGCAATCAAAGGACGGTGAAGGCAAGAGTCCCTCTCCTCCATAAATATTGAGACAGTCAGAAAGGACAACCCCACATATTGTGACCACCTCCATGAGGAAAAAGAGGTGGGCCGCAGTCATGGGGAATTCCAAAATAAAGGAAACAGAGGGTCCGATATGTAGAAAGGACCCTCTTCTAGGGAAGGCTGCTGCCTTCCTGGGGCCTGGGCTAAGGACGTCACCAGGAAACTTGCCAGCCTGGTGCCACCCACAGACTATTAGCTGTTGCTGGTCGTACAGGTGGGAAGAGAGGAAGTGGCAACATGTAGCCTGGGGGGCAATCAAAAGGGACTTTAGGGAATCTGGGTTGGACAATCAGGAACTCAGGCCGGCAGGTCATCATTACTTCCATTCTCCCTGGTGCTGACCACCTGAGCAGGAAGAAGCGGCTGAGGCCTTCCACAGACTGCCACAAGCCTCACCACTTCTTATCACAGAATCATTGAATCATTATGGAAAAGACCTTATTAAGGGAGGGGGGGGGGGGGGGAGGCACTCAACAATCCCGATGTCTGCAGGGATGCAGGGATGAACACACAGCCAGGAACAGGTTCCTGCAGAACCTGTCAGATTAGGATAACTTCTTGATGCAGTGGTAGATGAGCCCAGGAGGACAGGGTACTGCTGGAGGGGCACTGGATGATGCTAACAAACAGAGACTGTCTCGTTGGAAATGTGAAGGTTGGGAGCAGTCTCAGCTGCAGTGACTGTGAGATACTGGAATTCACACTCCTGTGAGTAGAAAGATCGGCAAGATGTAGGATTGCACCCCGGACTTCATGGGAGCTGTCTTTGACCTCTCCAGGGACCTACATGGAGGAATCCCCTGGGCCAGGGCCCTAGAGGAAAGGGAGTCCAGCAGACTTGGCTAATATTCAAGCAGTCAGGTCATGCAAGGGGGGCAGGAGACCTGTGTGGATGGGCAAGGAGCTCTTGGGAAAACTTAAACAGAAAAAGAGAGCAAACTCTTCTTAGTGGTGGTCAATGACAGGACAAGGGGTAATGGGTACAAATTAAAACTCTCCTTCTTTGGAGATCTTCATATCCTATCTGAATGCGACCCAGTGCCATATGCTCTAGGTTTCCCTGCTTGAGTAGGGAGGCTGGACTAGGTGATCTCTAGAGGTTCCTTCCAACCTCAGCTATTCTGTGATTCTGTGGTTATTCATGATATTTAGGACAGAAGCTGTAGCTATGACATCCACAAAAGGTCTAGGGATATGGAATAAAATACAAGTCAAGAAACGGGGGACATGGTACAAGTGACGCGTGCAGAGTTGAGAAGCCATCCAACACTGTTACCTCTCTGACAGTAAGAAAAAATAACTGTTCCAGTACTAACGGGGATAAAGCACTGGACTTGTCTAGTAGATTGCAGAACGAGGGTCTGAATTCAGTATGTGTGGAATCCTTTTCCTCTACAAAATGGAGGTTGAGTAGAGACCTGGAAAGGACGGCTGCACTCTGCGTTTGCTCATGCTTCCCCCCCGCCCCGACAGCTTGTCTTGCCTGTGTGGTCTTGGTCTGTGACAGAGAGCTAGACAGCTTTGTCAAATTGTGCAGAGATAGATTTAGTGGAGAAATAGTCCCCTCCAGAAATCTGTCATGCCTTTCACCACAAGGTTCGCTATATTGAAAGGGACCTGGTATTAAATTGTCTCTCCATGTAGGAGAATTATTAGTTGAACCAGATTTTCTTTTTCCTATGGTGCAAAAAATGCATAATGCCAGCTTAGTGCTGGGCTTGTGGAGTTTCACAGCTGGAGTTTTGCAGTGGTGTTTAGCTTTAAAGCAGATTTATTCAGTCTTTGGTGTTTTTAAAGTACAACAGGAGTCCTTTCTGTCCCCCTTCTGATAAAAACAGTGTTTCATAACAACAGCACTATCTCCAGTAGAACTGCATTTAATTTGGTCAACAGGAGAGCAGGTGATCAGAGTCACAGCCATGATCATGTTATATTAGAGGATGTTGGGACACTGATAATAAAGGGTGGGTGTTTTTTTTTTTTTTGGTTTTGGTTGTTTTCTGTTGTTGGGTGTTTTTTTTGACCTAAGGATTTGCAGTTTCTTCCTTATCCTAAATTGGATTTAAAAGATTCCTGTCTTTTAAAATACTACAGCACTTGCGATTTAGTTTCTTCCCTTTGATACTATATCTAGTAATACATGCTATTATTTAAATATATGCTGATTTTTAGCATAGAATTTATCTTGGTTGATATTTGCATAATTTGTATAACTATCCCAAACATAAACAACTAAGTTGTTTTCAGAATATTACATTAAACTGTACAAAGGAAGGCTAGAAAAAGGCTAGAAAATGTTTGCTGGTAAACTAAATATGTAATTAAAAGAAATCTTGGAATAAATACCTTATTTTTTGTTTCTGTTTTGGTTATTAAGATATATTGAAAGTCTTCCTCCTTTTGTTAAAACTAGTAAATTCCAGTTTTTATTTAATATATAGTCTTAAAAAAGAATTTGTCATTGTGTTTGTATTATGTCTGATGGTCTTCATGTCAGTCACTCCTACTGTGTTCTAATCATATATAATCATATATTTTTGGGTATGGGCTCTGCCCGCCTTTGCTGTGAAGGCTCAGTTCCATGCCTTTCCTAACATTCTGAAAGAAAACCTGCATTTTTTTTTATAAAAGAAAGGTAATCTTTAGAGTTGCATGGGAAATGAAATGGAAAGGAACTTGGGATATTTAGTTAAGTTCCAAAAAGGTTCTTGACCCTGACTTCCCCCCATCCTACCCACAGGGAGGAGAAAAGGTTGCTCTGTGTATGTAATTACTTGCTCAGCCATGTGTCAACCTTGAGAATGTCATCATCTTTGTCATAGTTGACAGCTGAAATACTAGTTACCCATAACATCAGAGGAAATCTTGTTTTAAATCCGTGCTCCCCTGTGGAGAGGTAACAAAAGCTTGTTGGGTATGAAAAGGCTTGATGAAGATCCGTCCATGGAGCGCCCCCAAACCAGCGCTTGGCTCCAGGCAGTGAGGGAGTGAGGTCAACCCGGTTCTGCTTCACCTTCAGCTCTTAAACCTTTTACCCGTCAATGTATTTCTTTCCATCAGAGGTTACATGCAGATATAGGATTTACATGCACTGTACAGTAATCCTAGGCTACTGCTTCAGGAAAGAGCAAGTTTATACAGTAACTGTTTTGAAAACAGCATTGTTCTATTTCTTTCAGTGTATATTTCAAGTGTATTAGAAGTGATGGTAAAAGCGATTTGGATGATCATTTCCTTTATCCTAGGGCAAAGGACGTAGCTGGAAAATCTGTTAGGGTCTGTAAAGGCCCTCGGGCTGTTTTTTCTCGAGTGCTGCTGCTATTTTCACTGACTGAGTCAATGGAGGACGAAGAAGCTGGTAGTGGTGGACAAGGCCAGCTCTCCACAGTGCTCATGGTGAACATGGGCCGTATGGTATTCCCCAGTTACACTGTAAATAGGAAAACAGAAATCTTCCAGGACAGAGAAGATCTTATCAGGTAGGTGAGACTCTGACAGTCTGGAAATCTGTTTATTCCTATAGAAGCTCTGTTTCAATACTTGTATAGGCAAATAAGAGATTCATCATGTAGAACTGCAGAAGATAAAACAGGTATATGTGCATTTTTTTGATAATTTGAAATGCTCTTTTTTTTTTAATCCAGGTAAGACTTTTAATTCATGAGGACTTCTATTTTGAACCAAGATAGCCTATTTCTGTGCTTTGTGATCATCTGATGATTAAAGTTTCCTCTTACATTGCTGCGATGCTTACTAGAATGAAACCTGAGCAGAAGAATGTTCTCTTGTCTAGAAGTAGTTTTAAACGTAATAGAGTCTGGTGAACAGTATGATCTACTGCTGATCCTACAGGATAAGAATAAAGTTGGCTACATGGTTTAATGCCCTTGGAGGCTGGAATGGAGTTAAAAAAGAATATTATATGAAATAATTGATTTATTGTAACTGTAAGTCACTTTTGAGTCTGATACTGTGATTATAGTGTTTTTCCCTTGGTAGGTATGCAACTGCTGCTCACTTGTCAAATGATATAGCTACTGCAATGGCAAATGGGAACTGGGAAGAAGCTAATCGTCTCTATATGTGTGCTAAAGAAACCTGGAATGAACTGAAAAATCTGCCCTCTTTGAGGTAGGGAACTGGCAGATTTTGCATAATGTTCATGTGCTACTATTGAGTGTATTATCTTACTTTTGGTGCGGCCTCTCTTTTGAAAGACACTTATAGACTTGTGATATTACCTAAACATGTACAATTTAGAGGCTTTAGTTTTCCTGAAAGCTTTGAACTTCCCAGATGTTTGTTTTGTTTTTAAATGGTATATATGAAAAGATCTTTTTAAATAAAAACTTGGGAGTGAATCGGTAGGCTTGGGTGAAGCACTATTCAACATGCCAGTGCAGGAGAACAAGAGCGTTACTTTTCCCTTGTCATAGTTTGTTTTTATGGCTTTCAGACAAACAGCAATCAGCAGAATTTAAAATTCACTAGGAACAAAAGAATGTTGCAAAGGTTGTGGGAAAACATGCTGGGTTATTCATCTGTTGGAACTTCCAAGTAGGTCTTATTCAGGAAACCTTACTAAAGAGCTGAGAACCGAAGCACTGCGAAGAATTCAAGTGCATTGTTTTTGAAGCACCCTTCATTGGATTTTTAGTTATTTTGTTTTCTAGCTTGCAGATACATTGAAAATTAAAGCGTATTTTTTGGCATTACATCAATTGTCATGACAACTGATTTAAAATAGTGTTTGTACAAAGGCATTTGAAGGCTTGTTCCATCTCATACTGAAGATAGCAGCAAAACTTAGTTTCCTTTTAGTAAGACTTTGAAAAGAATATTTCTTGAAATGCAAAGGTGCCTAATGGAAAGCTGTTAGTCTTTTAGGAATGCAATTCTCTGGAAAAGACTATTCTGTCTTTTCCCTTTAACTTGCCCCCCTCTTTCTGAAGTTATTCTGCTGACTTATTACTTATAAGATTGGAGCAAAGAATCACGAGGTAATAAATTATTGTTTGCATGTTATGTATAAATTGTTAACTAATAATTCCTCTGCTGTTTGCAAGAAGCTGCTGTACAAGAGTAGCTTACACCTGTTATCTCCACTCTGTTATCCCCCTTTGAGGTCTTTGCTTTCAGCCTTGATAGTCATTTCAGGTCAGTTTTACATAAGGCATTTAATTTTTGTCAATGCTTTAGGTATGTGCGGTCTTTGTAAGAGAATTTTAAGAATTTAAATTGGTGTCATTAAAGCGATCTCCTGAGGTGCTCTCATCTTTCAGCTATCACAGAGCTCTACCCGAGTATCTGAGGCATTTCACTGTTGGCTGGGTGTATACAAGAATCCTCTCACAAGGTGTTGAAATTTTGCAGAGACTTCACATGTATAAGGTAAAGTGGAGGGAATGGTATTTTTATTTGAAAATACTACTGTTAATAAAATACGCACTGACTGACAATGATGGTAGTGTTTATGGTATATTATAGGAGAGATTCTGGTTTCCTTAAGTCATTGAAGTATTTTTCTGATGTAGCTGAAAAAAGGTGATATTTTTTGCTTGGACTTCCTACAGTTCTCTTTAACAGTTACCTTTAAATAAGAAGTGCTTTTTTTTTTTATTTGCTTCCTTAAAAGATTCTAAAGAAAGACCGTATCTTTTAAGATAAGTTTTGATTTTCTGGTTATACTTCAGAGATCCCGGGTAGAAACTGAAGGATTAACAGGGTTGTGATATGACATGAGACATCATTGTTTATGGAAAGATACCTGTATTTGGTATTGCCTTTAAATATGAAGCTCTTTGAAGAAAGCTTCTTTTGTGAAATCTCCTGGATCCCTTTTCACCTGGAGATAACATCTGCAAAGGCTTCTGACTTTTATTAAAGCAAACCAGATACTTCTAAAAGACTTGACCTCTGCAAGAAGGCAGCAAGTAATGTTCAGGCCTTGCTCATAATCTCTAGGGAGAGAAATATTTTATTTTTGCATCTTAACCTTTCAGTTTTAATGAAAAATATCTCTATTAATCCCAGTGCTCTTCAGATACACCTGTACAGCTGAATACTTTGGGCATTTGTTAGACTATAAATGGGATTTGAACTTTGCAGAGACAGACTTTTTATAATAGCTGATAATTAGGAGGGAACGTTCGTAATGAAGCTTCAGCTGGGCTTTCTGGATCGATTAATTAACCCACCTTCCCGTTGCTCTAGGAAGCCGTGCGGGAGCTGCAGGAGCTCTTGGCCCAGCACGTGTATTGTGCTGACAGCAGAGGGCGGTGGTGGGACCGCCTGGCTCTGAACTTGCATCAGCACCTGAAGAACACCAAGAAGGTACCGTCACTGCTGCGTGCTCGAGTGCTGACAGCCCTGCAGCGCCTGCCTGTAAACACTGTGCGCTTGCTACGAGCAGACACTCTCTTAGAGAGAGGCTCTGCTAAAATCCAGATGCTGGTAGGCAACCCAAGGTCAGGCAACCAGTTTCTCCTTAGAAATGGCATCATTTACACAGTTAGAGTGTGAATATCCTCATCCTCGACTGACCTGGTTTTCGTAGCTTGGAAGAACACCATTTGCCATGCGGGATTGTACAGGCTGTTCAGCAACAGCTTGCTTATCTGTCCTGCCTCAGGGATCAGTAAGAAAAGAAGCCATGTCTTACTAAGCTGTTTTTTTAATATTCACTTTTTTGGCGCTCTTTAAAGCAGTTGATTATTTGGATTTAGTAAGGATAGACAAACTAATATTGGTCCTTTAAAATTATTGCATGTTGTCTTGGTCTTCGCTAGGCCATCGAGTGCATCAGAAAAGGGCTTGCAGACCCGTGCGTCCGTACGGGGCATCGTCTCGCGCTCTACCAGCGGGCCCTGCGCATCAGAGACTCACCCAGCTGTAAACAGTTCAGGGGCCTGTGTCAGGATCTACCAGTCGTAACTGTGGAAGATGTGACGCATGTGAGTAGCACTGCTGGTGATTTCTGAAAAATACAAACTCTCACAGTCAAGGAAGAATAATCCTGAAGACTCTTGTTGTGCTAATGGACCAACCTGAGGCCTATTTCTGTTGTGGGAAAGCTAATACAAACATAAATATTTCTAAATCCAAAAGTATTTCTGTGTAATAAGGGGCCTACTTTTCATGTGAAGTTAGTCATATGTACTCCATTGATTTACTTTGCATAGTTTTACTAAATGGGGGTTAGAAATCTGATCAGATATAAATTCTAGTCATTTACTAGCAATCAGAACTTCTCTGTTTTCTGTTTGAAGCATCTAAGCAAAGTTGTATATTACCTCTGATTTATTTATTTATTATTTCAGGCCAAGATTTGTGTTTGAAACAAAAATATTAAATAGCAACATTAGCAGGATTTTGTGAGCATTAGAGTAATGGCTCAAGCTCAGTATAATACTTTTTTTTTTCACCTTTTGGTGGAAGGCACTTGTATTATCATGTGTTGTTTGGGGGAGTTTGTTGCTGTTGTTTTAAAAAGAAAAAAACACACAAAAATATCACATTATTTTCCCTGCTACTGCAAATGTATTTATGTCTGAGCAGAGTCAGAGGAGAGCCTCTCCTTCTCTCCTAACCCTATCACTGCATACTGTTTTTCAGGCCAAAAAATCAGTTTCCTCAGTTGGTCCCTTCTTTCCTCCCAGGCTTAGATATAGAAATACTGCATTCCCACTGAATAATATGCCAGTTCAGTAATCTGGTTTGTCATCCAGAGTTTACTTCTTCAATGCTGTCAAGAAGAGGGCAGGTTAAATTCAGCTGATTCTGAAAGCAATCTGGTATGGGCTTTAGGAGAACTGAAAAGGAGGAACACCTTCGTTAGGAGAGGCTAAAATACTGATGCTAAAACTTTTCACCAGTGATGCTAGGAAGTAACTACTTACTTGCTTGTGGTTTTCAGGTTACAATCAAAGGGAAGATGTGTCCTCAAACAGGACTGGGAAAATCCGTGTTTCTAATGGAGGATACTGTCAGCGAGGAAGGAAGTGAAGACCTGGGTGTATCCACAGTCATGTGCTCTGTGGAGGAACTGGCCTTGACTCATTACAGGCAGAGTGGTTTTGATCAGGGTAATAGTAACTTCTTTTTGCACAGTAACTGTGAAACTGACCCAATTTGTGAAGCAGCTCAGTTAACCTTTTACATTAAACCCTTTTTTTTTTTTCTTTCCCTCTGATTCTGTTTTCTTCCAAGAAGACTATAATATGTCCTTTCTAGCTGGTCTTCTGCCTGGCCATTAAGTTTTTGCTTCCTCTGTATACGAAAGGTAGTTCTGAAGTGTGGAAGAAAAAAGGCCTATTCTTAATACAGCAGAAAATCTCTTATTTTGCCATTAGTGAGCAGTCTTTTTATCTGTTAGCTTAATGCAACGATGCATAATGGGCCTTAATCCCAGTGCCCTATAAAAGTTTACAGGAAAGGTAAATTCCCAGTGAGATTTTTTGGAGATACTAGATGAACATGTAAAGAGTAAACATTTTAGCAAGACACTTAAAAGCTCTTCTAAGAAGAGCTTGTTTTTCAGTTCTATTATTAGTTGTTCTTAGGCTGTAAAAGTATAAGAGCTTTGGAAAGCCTTGGACAAATATGAATATATAAGATCAGGAAATAAAATACAACAAAGCAAGCAGGTGAAATCCAATAAAGCTAGAAGTGTAAGCTTGAGTCAAGACAGCGCATGTTTATTAATTGATCTTATGCTGTTAGTAAAAGCCACGGGCCTTGCAATGGAAAGCATTAGCAAATCATGGAAATAATGAGAGACATTTTCAGTGCAAGAATATACTGGCATCAGCTGGTATGTTCTATTGTTTATCACTCTAATTTACCTGTGATTTGTATGATGGTGCTGTAGAAATAAATATCTCCATTTTTATGGCTGAAAAGTTTATATTATTAAATTTTGTCCTTCAGGGATTCACGGAGAAGGTTCAACGTTTATTACACTGTATGGACTTCTAATGTGGGATATCATATTCATGGATGACATACCTGATGTTTTCAGAAATTGCTATCAGGTATTTCTGAAAGGCTTTCTTAAAGTAGATTCTCTAACCATATTAAAAAGCTGATTCTGTACTCACGTTTTGTTCCAAGTCTCTCCCTCTTCTTTCCTCTCCTCATTTGTGTTTTTTGTCATCTTTCTTAAAACAAAACAAACAAACAAAAAAAAACAAAAGAAATCCTGCAGCTAACTTCCGTGGCCTGCCTGCTGTTCTTATGAGTTAAGAGACCTTAATTGCACATTGTGTTAAAAGCAGATATTCTTTGTCAGTCCTATCTACCATTTACCATAGATCTTGCCTTTCTGAATACATTCGCTTTTACATAATTTTATTAAGTACAGATTATACCTACTCAGGCATAAACGAGGATAAGCCGAGAGCTTCCACCTGGTTCTCCCAGCCCAGTAGTTCCAGGCTGGGCTCTCCTAAGACCAGTACGGTTGTGGCTGCAGTACGTGGAAGTTTGAAATTATCTCCCTGCAGCAATAAGCATTTGCCCTTGAGAATCTAGAAGGGCACTCACCTGCTTTCGAGCCTTTCTCCTTTTTTTGCTGCAGTGACTTTATACCATAACATGTACAAGAGATGCACAGAATTTTCTTCGCTTTTGATGGGCCCAGGTGATAGTCCAAATCCACCACTGTTTTGTTCCCTGCTCCCCTCCTCCCCTACTCGCAAAACTGTTGGTGGCTGCAGCTGAGCAGTTTTGATTCTGCTCCCAAATCCTGGCTAGAACATTATTGCTTGGAGAGCTGGCAGAGGCACTAGCTTCCTCTTATAATGCCAGCCTCCTTGTCTAGATTTTTCTACATTAATAAAAGCCAACAGAGCATGGTCTAAGACGTGGCCGGCATTTGCTGCAGTGACATCAGTTGTTAAGACTATGCAAATCCTTCCCCATTTAATAAAGGATGATGAGGTATGTTCAAGTTAAATTGCCTCAGAGTTTGAGTGAACGTGCAGCCCATTTCCAAGAAGCACGCAGGCATTGTCAGTGCTGGAACCTCCGCCTTGCAGCAGCTCCTCAGGGCTGTGTTTACCTTTTCGCACAGACGTTCCCCCTGGATTTGTACACTGACAGCTTCTACGAGAACCGGAGGGACGCCATCGAGGCCAGGCTCCAGCAGCTTCATTCCGCCTCCTCCGCAGCGCTGGCAGAGCTGGTCGCTGACATCTGGAGCACCCAGGAGGGAAAAGCAGCAGCGCTCGTTACCTGGGGGCGTTTCGTTTCCCTCCAGCAGGCTCAGGTAGAAAACAAGTTGGCCAGAGTGGGTGCTCTGTTTTATCAGGTTCCTGGTTAAACCTCACAGTGCCAAGGGTGCTCTCCAGGCTTGTGGTGAGGCCCTGGTGAGGACTCAAGCAGCGTTCTCCCCATTTCAAATTCCTCTCACCTTTCCCTTCCCCTTTTCTTATACAACTACTTCCCTAGCTGCAACTGTAGCTGGGAACACAAAGGAAAATTGCTGCAGATAACATTTACTGATGTTGCTAGTTACACATGATTTAACAGAAAACAGTTGAGACAGAATGTGATTTTTGAGAGCTTAGAAAGGGCTGGACAGGAAATGCACAGAAAAACAATGCAACCTTCTCTTACAGAGCCTTGTCTCCTGCCTGGGAGGAATGTTCCTGAGTGGTGTTTTCAGGCGACTTTCTAAGGATTTACGGCACTGCAGAGGGGGGCTTCCTGACCTGGTTGTGTGGAGCACTCACAGCAATCACTTCAAGGTGTGTTGACTGACAGATCTGGGAATCTGGGATACTCAGGTGATAATGCCTACTTAAGGAGAGATAGGAAACCTTCCAGGTGTCAGAGTATTTAGTCTATATTTCCCTGTTGTTGTGGGGCAAAACCTGCTTGTTTGTCAGGCAGTTGTGGTAGTTGTATTGCTGATGTCATTTCATTGGGCCTTTTGCTGTAGCTTTAATGGAAGCATAGAAAGAACAGGCAGTAACTAAATATTGTTGTTGATTGGAACATTTATTTAAATTAATGCGCCTTCTCCCTAGGCCTTCTAGTGTGTTGAGTAACAGCTTATACTCACATATTGGACCTTAAGATCATTCCGCTCCTCGGCATGGATAATGTATTAATCACCTGCACTTCTTTGTAGCTGGTGGAAGTGAAAGGTCCCAACGACCGCCTGTCCTGCAAGCAGATCATCTGGCTGAGCGAGCTGCAGAAGCTGGGGGCCACAGTGGAAGTTTGTCACGTGCAAGCGGTCGGAGCCAAGAGCCAACGCCTCAGCTGACAGGGGATATCTCGGTAACGTGCAGTCTGTGTCTAACTGGGACACCCTAAGGGAGGGGACAGGACGCGCTACTGGCTGCTGCTCAGTTGAAGTAGCTTCTCCCAAAACTAGGGCTTCAAGAAATAGTACCATGGTTACACTTAACTCCAAAACATTCTAAAATACACTTTGAGAAGACTGTATTTATGATTTACAGTGCTCAAAAGAACAAAATCTTCCTACTGAATACATAATCATAACTTTTTCCACAAAAGAGGTCATACAGGGTCTTCTCCAGTCACGAGAAGTAGCTGCAATCACATCTGTACCAAAAGAAAAGAAATCTACAATAATAAATGCATTGCATCAAGTCCTTGATAGTTTCTGTTTGCTGATACAGCCTGATTTCACTATACTCTGCAAGTTTCCCACTCTGCACCCTCCAGTATGTTAGAACCAGCATGGTTCTGTGCTCCTCACTTTGCATGAAGTATCTGGTTTTGAATTTCATATAAAGATTGTAACTGGCACTGACTAAGGTATAAATCACATTTTTAAAAAATGCCTACTTTGGTTTCCTGCTACGTATGAAAACGTGCCTAGTTCAGCAGCTCTGTCCTGAATAGCGGTGTCAATTGTGAGGGTGGAAGTATTTCTGTGAGTAGATGAGTTGCCAAGTCCCAAGATTGCTGCACTGATTTGCAACATGCCACCGTAGTCAGTTCTGCCCTACACAGAATGATGTGTTCTCATTCACAAACAACTCGGCTGAAATGGAAATAAGCCAAGTTCTCTCAACCCAACAAAACCTTTTTTCCCCCCTCCTGTTTTAACACAGACAGAATCATTTCTCTGCAGCTTTCATTGTGATACTGAGTAAGCTTTCAGGATGTTCAAAATTGTCCTTACCACATTAACAGCAAGCACTGTAAAAGAGCCTAGTAAGAAGTCCTCTGCACATCTGTTTTGTTAATCCTCTTCCTACAGCAGTGTCTCTGCTTTTTTTTGGAAAAAGAAAAGAAAAATAAGAGCCCCACCATTTTTTTTTCATTAAAGGAAGTGAAAGAAAACCCCCTGAAGCTCACTGTGGAACGGTATGAACTTTTATTTAGTCTAATTTACTTCACATTCACAACTCGGCATCAGGATTTTATATTCTTCCTGGCACTGCTACTTTACTCAATAAATCATTATTAGGCACAAAGGTTTTAGTTTCAGTTGAAGTAGTGAGCTCTAAACCATTGCAGCATTAGAAACCTGCTGCCTAAAGCAATTGGAGGGACAGGTATCTGTCTCTTGTTGGAGACAAATTTAGGATCTCATCCTTTGCTTAACTGAATTTGTTAGAATTTTTTTGGTTTTTCTGTTTCATTCTGCATGACAATAAGCCAAAACCTTTGCCCACCTGCTACATCTTCATTAAAAATACAAGGCAGTTAGTTAATATCAAAGTGGTATTGCAGGCAGATGCACGAGACACACGTGCAGGCCTGGGCATACACACACTCACAGACACACACCTTTCAACGCATTTCGGGAATGAAAGACGTTTTTTTGATACATGGCAGTAAATGGTGGATGAAGTTGTTCTACCACGACTGCTAAGTCTACAGTAACCTCTACCTGCAGTAACGAATGACACGGGAGGTTCATGCATGCAGCATCAACCAGCACTTCATGTCCCGCTCCCCCCGCATGGTTTACAGTGTAGTAAAAAAGTCATCAGTATAACAGCCAGTAACAGCCAAAATAGTGCACCTTTTCTAGAAACAGCCTAAAAAACAGATAAACTTCTTTGTAGTTTTTATACTTTTGCAACAACAAAATGGCATTAACCCTATCTTGTTTGGAAACGTTAACAGAAATTAAAATTTGGGAGAGAGAAAGAGAGAGAGAGAGTGTGCGCGTGCACATGTGTGTGCACACATGCACGTCCGCATGCTGCACAGCAACATGCATCGCACCTAACAATTACTGCTGAAAGCCACTGGAGGTGTCTGCAGTAGTACTGAGGATAAGGCAATGGTGTAGAGACAAATACTTCACAATTTTAGTACTTCTGTTTCAAAAGTAAATTCAGGAACGCAAGTTGTTCATCTCGCTTGTTAAGGGGAAGAAGGAAGCGCACACGTGTGCACGCACACACACGCACACACGCGTGCGCACGCAGCAGTCAGAGGTGCAGGGCAGAAGGGCCCTGGCCTCGGGCAGTGGGACCTGCTCTGCTTCTTGAGAGGAGCCAGAGGCCCCTTCCCCCCCGTGTCCCTGTCCCCACGGCTGCCACCAGCTCAGCCTTCGCTCCCGGTTCCGAGCTGGGAATGTTTCAGTCTGTTTGGCAAATAGGTATTTTGACAGGTTTTGTTTATTTTAAAGGCATAGTAGTTCTCTGCCCTTCCCTCTCGATCTCCCCCCATAATAATATATATAAAATACAAAGACCATCTGCAGCATCTATACATATCTTAGAACTGAAATGTAAAAATTTCTGAAAACTCCTTATAAAAGCTAGTCCTGTTTAAATACAGTACCCCTTCCCCCCCAAAGGGTACGAGCCTAAGTATTAATTCTTTTATTCCCCCAGCTGCCTAGCTGGGTGGAGCAATTTATTTACATATTTTTCGGTACCTTTAAACCAAAAAAGATATTCCTTTAAGGAAGAAAAAAAAAGAAAAAAAGACAGTATAGTTTTAAATGTAGTTTTCAAAGAAAAAAAGAAAAGATCGGTACCGAAACATAATACACACACAGGTTGAGGTCTTTTCTGTCAAGTATCAGGCCAGGGAAGCAGTAAGCAAGTTAAAAACCACCACAAACGCAAACTAAAACACTGGAATAAACCAAAGGAACTCAGGGGGTTAGATGGTGGCTCCAGCAGGGCTGGAGCTGTAGGCCTGTCTGTGGGGCAGGGACGGCGCCCGGCAGCCCTGCGGTGGCAGCAGCAGGAGCAGAGGGGGACACCCCTTTTCTCCTCACCAACAACCGACCAGGAACAGCCTGGCCATGTTGGCACCTGCACACTGCCGCACACACAAACACACACTCAGATTCTTTGCATAAAAACAGGTTTTGGGGGTTGCTTAGTTAAAAAGGGGAGGTGTCTTTTTTCCCCCTGGCTCCAGCTGAGCCCCGGAACAACCTGCCGCCTTCCCCGGCGCGCGGCCCTGCGGCCTGCACAGAACGGGCTCCCTGGCGCGCTGGCTGCCCCGCACCGCGCGTGCGCCCGGGAGGCCACTCCAGCTGCACGTCCTGTCAAATAAACACTGCTGCGCCCTCAGACATCCAAAACACACGTTGCTGTGGTATAGGCTGTGCTGAAGGCCAGTTTGCTTTGGCACACAAATACCTTGCTCCCCCTCCTCCCTGTTTTGCCTTTTTTTCCCCCCTCCCATATACTGCACATTATCATGATACAGAATATCTTCTCCTAACAAGTGAGAGGAGCTCCTCGTCCGCTGTACGTGGTGTTTAGGTGCCCTAAGTTGTGAGTGAAACCCTGCACAGAGGAGGCCTCGTGTTGGTTCTGCTCCACAGCTCGCGTGTTTTCTAGAACACAGACTGAGCGTGCAGAGGAAGAGGCAGCTCCTGCCGTCGCCTCAGCTGACCAGAGCAAGGGGCTGTCTCACTTCTCCGCCTCCCAGGAAAACCTGAGGCCTTTTTGGGCGCAGCCCCCACACGAGAGGTATCACTGAAGGGTTTTACAGCAGTGCGGGGGCTGCCGCGCGAGGCAGAGGAGGCAGCACCAACGGGACAGGCCACGTCCGGCCGCGGCACCGGCCTCCGGGACGCGGCACCTCCCTGGCTGCGGCCTCCTCTAGCGGGAGGGAATCGGGAGCTGGACAGGGACACAGGGATCCCGCGGGGCATTGCAGGTGCTTAAATATAAAAGTGAGGCCCTCACAAGACTTAACCACGAGTTTCATCTAAGCAACAGCTGCTCTGCATTGAGCTGGGCCCCGGCTATTTCCAGAAACGAGGGGGAGGCAAGGTTGGAACAAGGCCTTACCATAATCACCTATTTTTAAAAGTTAGAGGGTTTTTCTTTAGCTGCATTAGAGTGTTCTTGCTACTGTTTCTTCTCAATTAAAGGCACTTCTAAGGCTACTATAATACCATTATCTACAGTAAATGTTTTAAGGTTAACAGTGCATTGTCCTGAAGTTGATTCCTATGACCTAAAGGCAAGTTCCTGACAAAGAGCGTGAATGTGACTAACTGCAAGTGGATACATCCAGGGAGAGGAAGGAGGGAGAACGAAAACCCTAGGGATGCACACACTGCATCAACATGTTTGTAGAGTGGAGTGGTAATCAAGTCACAGAAAATTAGTATGTACGAATGCATATATGTACTCTTCCTGAAAAGATAACCTGATAAAATAGTTCCCAGATTTCTTCTGTCAATCTGTGTCTGCTACACCTAAGTCTACTTCAATTTGCTAACCTGACATGAGATGCACTTCAGTCACAATCTGAGGAAACAGTTATTCCAAACACAGCCCTCACTAATGACCACACCAAGCTTTCCTTTCAGTTAGCAAATGAAATGCTCCATGCCACAGAATGAGCCAAACCGAGAATATATAAAAGGATTTAAGGACCAGAAACCAAACAAGACGTGTAGATTAGAAGTACTGAAGACAAAATTGTGCGAATTTGAAGCATGATTCGCTTTGCTTTTAAATATTTGTGCAAAACTTACGTAATATTCGTATATAAAATTATTACAGCTTCCAATGCCGCATTTAGCAGTGTTAACTTAGAAAAGACAAATGATCTGCTCTATTCTCCCCAAACCTTTAAAGCCTCACATTGTCTTAGTCCTCGTTTGCAAGTGTCTCAGTGGATAGCCAGATTTTGGCACCACTTAAAAATTTGCTTAAAGGTGTTCCCAGAATGCTCCGTCTGCACAGGTTCCCTACAGGAGAAAAGGGGAATGAGGAGGAGAGAAAGTCTGGCGCTCCAGAAGTGTCATTCAAACCGTTTGCTCTGAAGTACATCCTGCTCTGATCCAGCTCCGAGCAGTTACCTTGCGAAGAAGCGTTGCTCTTGCACTGTCGAAGATTCCTGTTTAACATGTCCACTTCATCAGCCAGCAAAGAGACTTTATGGAAAGCAGTGATGAAGCCACCATGATTAATCTGGGCCTCGGGAACCCAGCGGAAGTAGCAGAGTTTCCACAGTTTTATTTGTGTTCCAGAGATGTGGGGTAGGATGACGCCATGCAGATCAGCAGGCTTTGCAAACCAGTCTCTGAAGTACTGCTCCATGCTATTGCTCTGACTCTCTGCTTGCTGTAAAAAGTCTGGTTTCAGTTTTAGTATCAAGGAGTTTCTTCTCGGAAGGAACTCCTGCTCACTGATGATGCCATTCTTCAGTGCTGGGGGGGCACCTCGCAAGGTTGAACTGTAGTTTTTCTGCAGAAAACAAATACTGTTAATTTTATGCTCATTATGCTGCAGACTTCCCTGAGATGCATCACCCAGATAAACAATGTGACCTCGAAACACCTCCGAGCTCAGCATCACTGCTGGCATTCAAAAACAAACATGCATGTTTTCTAACTTTCTAAAACAATGAACCATCAGGTCAGTCAGTGTTCAGGAAAAATAGCAGACAACCCACAGAAAAAAAAGGAATGTCGTAACTATTCTATAGATTAATGTAATTATACACAGGGAATGTCCTGGAATGCAGCCATCACCTGGTCTTCTGCAACCGAGACTTTTGCATCCACAGACATTCACTTTTGTGGGTATTTTTTAAGCTGAGTAACACTCTTACTGCTGCAATGTGGGTGTAAAGCCCTGCACAGCTGCAAACAGTCCAGCAGAGCCGGGCACAGAGAGGGCGCGCGCAGACGGCCACGGCCACCGCTACCTTGGAGCGCTTGAAGGTCTTGACGGCGCCGTTGTGCACGCACGGCGCGCTCTTGCCGATGTACAACGGGTTGTGGAAGAGCAGGCGGTCCCTGCTTGTAAACTGAAGAGACCAGTCCCAAACACAAGGAAATGTGAGGCCTTTCTCATCACCCAGTTGGATGTTTTTGCTTATGGCAAATTCCTGCAAGAAGTAACATTTATGCGTGTTAAATTAAACAAAATAAGCTTATTCAGAAATCTGAAATACAAAACACTGCAGAGTCACTGAGTGAAAAAGCACAGGAATATAATCTAGAGGCTGCTGCAGATTAAAGCAGTGGAACAACAGGACAGTCTGCTGCTAGAGAACAGGGCCGTACTCTGCTTTTCCTTTGTGCAAGGCAGGAGCAGGACTAATGCTGCCTTAGCAGAAATGACTTTCAATTATATTAAATTTTTATTTGATAAGTCTTAAAAGTGCAGAAGTGCAATTCTGAGAATACACTAATGGGGTATTCCATCAATACTCTATCTCTTTGTAAGCAGTTAGTACCTGCATCTAAAAGGAAGGTGTTTAACAAAACTCATTAAAATTTACTTTTAGCAGCCATCATATATTTCTAGAGAGAATTCCAGCAAACTACAGTGTTCGAAAACATCCGAGTGCTTCGTTTTCTTAATATCTTTACATAAGCATTCATTGTGCATTACTTTTGTAAGCTTTCATTTCAGCTAACCTGCAACTAGGTATCTAATGAATTCATTTAATCTACCATGAAAACAATTATATCACATGAAGGGATTTCAAAATTTGCCTGAAACTTGAAATTCTATTTATTGCCTCTCTCTATTTAGTAAAGTATTTATTTAAAGTAGTCACACTACTTTATTAATTCAAAATACAAAAAGCCGCTTTCTAGAGGCTCACCACCAATCACATCTAACAACAATGCTTTTCTGGGAAAAAATAAAAAATAAAAACTTTTTTCATGAACATTTAGTTATTGTCTATGCAAAGATCATTTGAAAGGGACACTCTGACCACATTCAACTGGGGAGCTGAATGTTTTGACCGAAACTAGTACGACATGTTCATGTTGATAAATACTAAGGAATGTCACTTAGCTTAGACGACGTGAGGCTCCTGTCACTTATTTGACAAGTGACAAGTATTTGACACTCACCGTGCTTTCCTTTACCCGCTGATGTGGACAGTTGAAGAGGAAAGTGCCAAACAAGGAGACACGGGCGCTGTCGTACAGCACGGTCAAGTAGACCTCGGAAAACTCGAAGGCTGCTGGGTACTGCTCGAGCAGCTGCCACACGCAGTCCAGAAACATCAGGAACAAAGGAGACTTGCAAAAGAAACACACAGCTCTTAGACTTCCATCAGCTTTTCCCCAGACAAACCTGTTTATTTTCAGCCAGTTCTCTCATTAGAGTATTTACCTATTCCTACGTAATGCCCCCTAGCAGTGTAACAGTTTGAAGCAGAGTATTCTATTCCATTTTCTTCATTTCATGCAACTGAAATACTCAGTATTTCTGTTAAGCGACTTTCACAAACGACCATGTCAACTGACTCCTAGCATTACCTTTCCACAGACTTCCCTGTGAGAAGCCAATCACTTTTTCCTGAGCTATTTTCTTAGTCACGTAGCTACAATGAGCTTTGTCAGCTTGTTCCAATTACTCCTTCAATAACCCTTCCTTCCTGCTTGGCCTTATTTTCACAATCTATACACTTCTGGACCCTTGTTGAAATGAATGGAGAGCTTGTGATGCAGCCAAATTATCTTCTTACTACGTGCTCCATCTCTGCCATTTCTGCACTGTTTGGCAGTTGTGTATTGGAATCATAAAGCTCCAGATCCCTGCTTGGAAAAGTTTGGTATATTGGTGTGGGTGTATATAAATTGGGACCTGGCATTCCCCAAATTGTGGGTGAAAAAGAGAGAGATGCCCTTGGTAGAACAAAATACACATGCCTACCCAAAACACTTCAAAACCCCTTCTAATCTAAAATATGGGCCATGCTAACATTTGTTATTACAGTGTGGGACACTTCCATGTATTACACTGTAGCAATACCCAGAAATATTTGATTTCACCTGGTGTTTCACCAATCACACATGGGTCCAGAACATAAAGAATTTATCTCTGTCTTTGGAAAAAAAAAAAACCAAAAACTCATTTTCTCTGACAGTAGCTTCATGAATTTGGAAAGTATGGAAAACACCTTTCAGCTTACACTTCTGTGTGATTAGGTGTTCAGGGTGATATTAATTGCCACATACAAATACAATTCATTTTACCTCTTTGTCAGATCTCTTTAAGTGGTTACACCTATCTAAAAATTGATATCCTGCCATGACCCATTCCTTCTGTATTAAGCTCTGAAATCCAACAATGGTTCGAAAATAGGGATCCAGCATGACTTGAATGAGAGAAGCAGCCAGACAGCTCAGGTCCCGTCCCTCTTCCTCTGAAAAACAAAGAACATAGGGGATATGCATAAATACACTGAATTATATCTCAAAGAACAAAGAAGCAGCAACTCGATTTAGTGTTTTTCTCTCTAATTCTTTTAAAGCACAATAAAGCATAGTAAGATATGCTTCCTTTCTAGACCCTCAGATGCTTGAAATATTTGGAAGTGACAGGTTTCATGTATAAAGGTGACAATGTATTTAATCCAAATGCCTTTTAACTGCTTTATCGCACTAATGCTCAGAATTCTGGCACACTACAAGTGGTATTACCTTGCAGAACTACGGAGACATGCTTACATTCCATCATATACACGAGCTCAGCAGAATGCTTAAGAAATGATCTAGGCAAGAGAAGAAAGTGATTCCACAATTAATATCAAAGGTTCACTCACTATATGGAAAAAAAAATACACTAGTATTTCTCTAATTTATTAAAATAGAGAATTGTTTAATTGCAATTGATTCCCTACTTTTTTAAACTGGTGAAAGATTAACATATCCCATATTAGTAACGGTACCAACCTGATGTACTCCAGCCAGCGAGTATTTTCCAGTGAGGACAGCCACTTCTCTTCTGTTTCTTCAAAAGGCTCTGCAGCAAGGAAAGCAGTAACATTGCAGAGTAATGCCAGATAACTATGCTGGTTAATTCTGAGATCTGTTAGAAATAACCACTGTGAAAGAACTACAGTCCAACCTACCATTAACACACAGCTGTTTGAGTTTGATATGTGCAGCCTGGATCTCCTGGATACTGGGGAGACACTTGTCCAAATCAGACTTGTAAACATCACTTCTCTGGGGATGGCTTCGGGTTATTGCATTACAAATTCTAATTAAAAAAAAAAAGAGAGAGAGAAAGAGAATCTGTTAGTTTATTATTGCAGAGGGGAGAAGAAAGAGTCTTTAAAGAAATATTCCAAAGTCCACAACTGCAAACAACCAAAAACATAGTTTCATTAAAAAAAAAAAAAAAAAAAAACACACTCCTAGTTTGAATTTAGGAAATATATTGTTCCTGTACAAAGCTACTGGCTCAAATATTTTTGATATTTGCCAATTACAAAAAAGAAAAATGCAAAGGCTGGATTGTTGAAAGAAGTTATAGATTAAATATCTCACCACTTTTTAATTTTTCACAGTTTTTAGAAAGATTTATCTAAATCTAAATAAACAGAACACATCTGAAATATACAAGCTAGTAATCTGGCAGAGATTCAAATAAGTCTGAGAGCTCCAGTCTAACAGGTGCAATAAAAGATCTTCAAAAGGTCTCACACAAAAGTGAGCAAGGAAATATCACACTAAAATTACTTAGGCAAAGCTCTAAATAGCTTCATCTTCCATCAAAGACAGTGAATACAAAGCATTCCACAGAAATACCGTATGCAATGAGGCACTAGATTTATAAAACTGTATTTTTACGATGTACTGGAACATTTAAGAAACAAGTATTATCTCAATTATGGATTATGCTGTGTATCCCACACAATCACCACTTGCTTCATACTGTGTGTCTTGTTAGGGAACTGCTTCACGCGCTTTTTTACCTCTGATCAATCCTCCTTTGCTGCAACACGTCTTTGATGTTGGCCATTCTTACAAGTGCACTTCCATTAGGGTGACTCCAGGACCATGACTTATGTCGGGGGGAAAACAAAACAAAACAGAGTTTAGTGCTGTTGTTGTTTTAAATGCTGCCCAAAACTGTGTTAATCTGCACATGAATCTTTAAGATAAATATTGTATGATGACCACGAAGAGGAAGAGAGTAGATATTATGCTTACCGGCATTCGTCTCCCAATAAAGGAGTAAGAGAATAGCTTAAGGTCTTGATCTGCTAAGGAGGATGGGACCACAAAGTATTCTGGAAGGCTTGGGGAAAAATAAGATACAAAAGGTTACTTTTGCCCTGAGGACTGTAACAGCTTTTCTTGATGTACTGCTGGTTTCCAATGTTATTAATGCACCGGTCCCTAACGTGCTGTTCTATACATCTGCAGCATCTTTTATGTCATTATTGGTGCAGCTCAGTTGTACTTGTTTTGAAAACCACATATATCAGAGGGAAGCAAGGAGGCACGAACACAGCAGATGACAGATTATAAATGTTCCCAGAATATTCCATTTCTTATAATGACAACACATGCAGGATTTTCCGGCGCAGGGCTTCTCTGGGCAGTGGCATGCCTAAGAACTGAAGTGCACGAGGTTTTGACAGAGGAGACAGGCACATGCTGGCAGACAGGAAAAGACAGCACCAACACCTTGTTTTTTTTCCCCACTCTTGCCTGCATTGTAGGAAAAACTCACCAAGTAGATATCATGTAGCCTTCATTGACTGAACAAACTCTCCACTCCGATGCACCCGTCCTCTTGATTTCTCTATCCCAATCAGAGTAAGTTTCAAACAAAGGTGTCTGCTGAGCACTGCCGCCGCCGCCACCGCCTCCTGGGTCTACTCCATTCACCTTCTTTGCTGGGAAAAGAAAATTCATCATTGCATATTAAAAAAATAGAAAAAAAAGGAAAAGGAAAAAAGAAAACCAATCTTTTCATCTGCCTAGTTATAAAAGTGAGAAATCAGTATCAAGCTTGACATTACCTATTTTTATATTAAATCAGATCAGTGATTTAATGACAGCCTGGCAATACACAAAAAAGCAAATGCATTTTTCCTGCTATTTCAGAGGAGCAATGCAAAGCAATGTAAAGCTCATATATTGTGTCGCTTGGTAGAAAACAAGCGATCAGGAATAAATATCATCAGTCACAGGGTTTCTCTCTCTCCAACGTGCCAGAGTTATCCATGCTTTAAAAACACTATTTCTTAACTGCCTTATAAAGCAAATAGAATAGATAATATTTAGTTTCAACAGCTTTTCCTTAGAAATTGTTAATTAGAAACATTATTTGATTAAAGATGTAAAAGGGCAGAAAAAGCTAGTGCATTGATAGCAAATAAACTAAATCAAAACTGTTAGAGAAGGCCTAATGTGTGACAAAAATGTCCTTCTGTTCTGTGCCGGAGATCAAGCAGCTGCCCTGTCACAGCACAGCAGATGCCTTTTGCTGATCATTCTTTAGGTTCCCAGGAGAACATGAACTGTGCCAAAGGAGATTACATGATTTTCGATACTTGCAAATAAATTTTTAGTTGAAAGCTAAATAAACTGAGACCCACCACTACTCCCTTCCCCACAAGAGCTCAGCAGGTGTCTGTGAAGTCAAAAGTGCTGCTCAGAGAAGACAAGCAACAGGGTTATGGCTCTCCTGCGCCCTTAGGGATTTAATTTATACGTTCTGTATCCATCAGATTCATTTTTCCATTAGTATTCATACTGCTATTTATGTTTTTCAGGGGAAAACTGTATTAAAATCAGAGTTAAGTAGTTGTTCATAATATACAAAGAACTATTTTAATTGCCAGAATATATTGCTACACTTTCACTGTTTAATAGCAGGAAATACAATTAACAACTCTATCCTGAGGGAAAATGCTATACGTATATATACACAACAGCAATGTAGGCTCTTTATGGTGCCCAGGAAGCACAGAGACAACAGTTCAACTGTTACTCTCTCAGGGCTAGCAGGGAAGGAGAGCTGTGAAACACAGTGCTGGATTTTGGGGAGCAAAGCCCCACATCTAGGCCACAGGCACCAGAATTCGCTTTACTGTGCAGAAACTTTTCAGTTAATAATAAAGGTTTTCAAGCGCCTTCCTTCAACAGCAGCAGCACAGCAGTACAACAAACTTGTGCAATTCCTGGTCTGCTGCTGCAAATAAACATTTTTTACCCACCTTATGCAACTCCTCTACTAATTTTCTTTTCCATATAGCAAATGGTATTTTAAGGATAGAGTAAGGGCAACTTTGTGACATTTTGCTTACTCTCTACTTTAACACTTCATAGTCTGCAAATTGACTTCCTCCTTAATACTCTGAAAAGCTAAAGAGAAAATATGTGGACCTTAGTAACTGCCCCAGTTTTACCAGGTGAGAAATGCTACATGTGATTATGTGTGCAATGTACCCATTTCTTCTGCATAACTAGAGCAGTCACGTAGGCACCTGCACACAAGATACATTTAGGGGCCAGGGTGAAGCCCTGAACTCCAGTTCCACAACGTTGCAGTTTGTACCAGGCAGATGATGGGTTTCTGGTGCCCGTTGCTGGGCAAGGGCTCGAGCCCCTCTGCAGCCCTTCTGCCCTGGGAGGCCTCTGACACTAGAGCTGCTGGTTGAGCTGTGCACGGGCCGGCTGGCTAAGCAGTGACCTCACAGCACGACACCAGAAACCACGTTGCAAAGGCATCGGTTTGAGGCTTACCTAACTGACAGGGTTCAGTTGGAGACTGGCCTTGAGCAGACAGGGTGTGCTCCAACTCAGCGGGGGTGGTGGAGGTTTTGAGTGGGAAGAACTGCCTAGTAAGCCTCTAGGAAAGAAGGTTTGGAGTCCCAAGCTGCACAAATCCTCCTGCAATACCACCAGAAGAGAAACTTATTCCCACCAGAAGGGCAGGTGAACAAACCTGCCTGATGGGAGATTAGCTAGGTACCTAGAGTACCAATAGACATACAGTAGGAGGAGTGAAGCGTGAATTGAGAAATAAGAGTATCCATGCTGACATTGGCAGTTTGGTTTTGCTTCAGACAGGACAGTTGATAGTTTTGATTTTGATAGTTCATGTCCATTACAATGATTGACTTACATCCAAGAACAAGAAGTTGGTGCAGGACAATTTAGTTGGTGCAAAGCCAATTTAATCATCCCTGGAGAAAGCCTCAAATGCTTTCTGCCATTGTTTCTGGCTAGAAGTTCTACTAAAATTACATATTACAAAATAGAAAAAAGTATTTTCCTACTTACCTGGATTATGATATATTTCCCCAACATATTCGAATGCAAAGAGGAGCTGCAGATCAGTTGGCTGAGAATAATGAGCTATTGCAAGGCACACCTAGGAAAGAGACATTTATTATTATTGATGTATATATAAATCATTGCTATCAGTTATGATAGCATGAAATATGCAAAGTTGAATCACTCTTTTGATGGTTTATTTCCTAACTTGATTTGAAAGAAATGAATTATATTTAAACATACTAATATTTGATGAGAGGACATTACTGTAGTCATAGCAGGTGAGCTCTTCCTCTTCTGCCAGGAACGATTACCAAGTAAGAGCCAAGTGTTTCTAAGAAAGGTCAGAGTGCAGCAGTCATCCCAAACACGACACAAGCACAAGCAGCTACGAGAGCTGCGAGGCCGCAGGCGCACCCGCAAACAGGCCCGGGGAGCAGGGCACCAAGGAAAAGAGCCGACACGCAGACCACGCAAAGGCACAGCAAAATCGCATTTCTGGTTCGTCTTTTGATAGCTGGGAAACAACAAGTACTTATTAATGCAGCAGGAGAATACAAAAAAGGCTATTCTGAGCAGGCACAGAAAGCCCAGTCCAGCACTGCGTCACCGGCAGCCAACAACAGATGCCTGGGAACGAGGGTAAAAACAGAGCTGGCCTGTAGGGCAATTTTAACCGGATAG